CCCTGGGCAGTCTGGTCTAGTTTTGAATGTGGAGGTTGGTGGCTGTGCATGTGGCAGGGGGGTTGAAGACTCATGATCCTTGAGGTCCCTTCCAACCCTGGCCATTCTGTGAGATTTGCTGATCAGCTAGTGGCACAGAACTGTACCAACATTTAACACAGCAGAACATGGGACGCCAACACTAAGATCAAAGACAACTCTGCCAGCTAACTGAATATATGAATCTGTAAATGAAAATATACATTTTTATGTTGGTGTTGCACTGCAAGGTCACAACGGAGTCAGAGTAAGATCATCAAGTGTAACAAGCTGATACTGATGAGCTTCATTTACATGCAATAAAAGAAACACCTTTAACATCTAGCTTGTAACTTCAATCCAAACCACTTTTCACTTCATTAGGGAGTTAGAAAACATCAAGAAAAAAAAGTGCAATAGAATCCTCTCCCCCCTACATTTACTTTGGCACAAGCATGACATTTCTGTCCTTGATTGTCAGCTCTTACTTTAACATGACTCATGTTTTTATATACATTTCCATTCCCAGTACTGCTGTTCAAGTCTTTGAAAGGGTAGATAAAAGCAGGACAACGGGAAATGGTTTTGAGGGAGGGAAGATTTAGGTTGGGTGTCAGAGGGAAGTTCTTTAGTATGAGACTGGTGAGGTGCTGGAACAGGCTGCCCAAAGAGGGGCTGTGGATGCCTTGTCCCTAGGGGTGTTCAAGGCCAGGTGGCCCTGGGCAGCCTGGTCCAGTACTAAATGGGGAGGTCAGTGGCCCTGCACATGGCAGGGGGGCTGGAGATTCAGATCCTTGAGGTCCCTTCCAATCCTGGCCATTCTGTGATTCCTTTAAGACATGACATACAAATACATAGTACCAGCTTTAGTTCCCGTATTATGCTTTATAACCTATAAGCTGAGCTGTGCACTATAACTTATTTCTACATTGAGCTAGTTAGTTCTGGCATTTAAACTTCCATATGATTTTCACATCAGCACTTTTCATAGCCATTTGCTTCCTAGCTTATAACCACAACTTTTAAGTGCTTATCTTCCTTGTCATGAATTCAAGAATCTAATTCTTGTTAAGATATTTAATTTAGTAAGCAGACTAGAATTTGCCTCAGCCCATCAATAATTATTAAAATTAGACACTATGGTGAGTCAACCTGCAAGCAAACTGTCTGCTATGTACTACTGGCAAACATGTGAATGATTTAATGGCTTTTGGCCACTGACGCAGAGTAACTTCTAAGCTGTTTCCACCCATGAAGTACCATAGCAGCTCTGCAGGTCTCTTGGCATTCAGAAGCCACGTAATGAACTTTAAACACACAGGCTGAAACTTGTTCCCAAGACTGGTCTAACAACTATTGAAAAATACCTAATCTAGGATCCCCAAGATGCAACTGAAATGGAAAAAGCTCAGCCGTTTAAACAACAGCAAATACCATGTTTTGCCATTTGGTCTGCAACCACAATAACAAGAATAACTAAGGTTGGTAATTCTCAAAATTCAGTCCAACCCCTTTGCTCAAAGGAGGGCTGAGTAGAACAGGTTACTTAGGACCATGTCAGTCCAGTCTGGTTTTAAACATCTCCAAGAACAGAGAGACCCACTGCCCCAGTATGTCTGCTGGGGACCCCAGAAATAGATGAAGAACACCAGGCAAGTCTAAAGAGTATTGAGTAGAGGGGATGGATCACATTCGTCCACTTGCTGGCAACACTTATCTCAATGCAACCCAGAATGCTGTTAAGGAGATCGTGTCAGAAAGGTGCATCGCTGTCATGTTCAGCTTGCCCACCAGCCTCACCACCCATCATCCCCTTCCCTTTCTGCAAAGCTGCCTTTCAATCACACACAGCACATACTGGTGGCATGGAGTTACACTTTCCTAGGTATGGGACTCCCTTCACAGAGCCTCATGAGGTTCTTGTTTGCTCATTTATTCCAGTTGCTCAAAATACCTGCAAGGGGAGCACAACTCTCTGCTGTATCAATCACAGATCCTAACTCTCACCACCTGCAGACTTTAAGGACACTGTCCCATCACCTACTTCATGATGAATGACACTGAGCAGTACTGGACCCAGTTGTGACTTCTGTTCTACCTCACTCATGACTGGCCTTAAACTGAATATAAGGTCATAATCAATTGTTTGATCCTAGCTGCTGTACTTAAAAAAAAAAAAAAAAAAAAAAAAAAAAAAAAAAGATCTAATCTTCATTTATAACAGCTCAGGATTTCAGGAAGAGTCGCCCCCCAGACATGGGGAAAAAAAAAAAAGCAGCATAAAAATGCACAAGGAGAGAATCACAAAAGCAAAATTAAAAAAATGAAAACAGGAGCTGCTCTCAATCATGCAGGCATTGCAGGCCTTTTTCCAGATTCCTACTTAAGAGTGTAATGCCTACTGAGCAGTAATCACATTGTCTTGGTATGTAAAAAAAGCAGGTAATAGACATAACCAGATTTACAGCAGAAAATGTGATCCTGAACTCTGCAGTGGTAGAGACATTTATCAAAATTACAGTTGGGACTACAGTAAACAGAAAGATTACTGGGGATCAGAGAAAAATATCATGATATTTCGTAATCTCCAGAGCAGAGTTGCATTACTAAGCATTAGAGAATGACTCAGTGCCCACATCTTCCAGTGAGAGGAATAAAGAGCAGAAAAGCAGTCTGTTAGTGAACTCAAAACAGCACAGATTCTGTGCAACTATCAAGCCTCATTATCCTACTGCTGCAAAAGCCATTTACTGTACTGTAAAAGATCAATACAATGTTGAGATACTGAGGGATGTATATCCTCAGTCAGAGTAAATGTGAGCATCAAGTGCATAGTTTTAGCAAGCTGGAAGAAATAAGTTCACCACATGTACAACTAAGCTGCATTACACTTGGATATTATGTAAATAAAAATACTTCAGCTTGGAGGCAGCAGTTAAATGAGCTTATTTGAAAATAAACAAAAACAAAAGCTTCTGTTCAGTAGAGTAAAAAGCTGAGAAGCTTCACAAGTGCAATGCCTCATACCACTGTCTTGTAATCTATCATAAGGGACTTTCCACATAACCAAAACTGAACATTCACAACCTCTGTCCATTCCATCGGAGTGCCCCATCCCCGGCGGCATTCAAGACCAGTCTGAATGGAGCTTTGGCAACCTGGTCTAGTGGGACAAGGCCCTGCCTATAGCAGGGAATTCAAACTAAATGACCTTAAAGGTCTCTTGCACCTCAAGCCATTCTATGATTACTTATTCAAGCATATTTTTCCCCTTCACTGTAAGTTCTGCCAGAAGTGCTGCTGACCAGCAATTACAGCATCCCTGAATGGAACAACTGTCTTGCTCTGCTTTAATGATTCAGTGCAGCAAGTCTTTCAGCAAGCAAGAGTAAAATTATTTCCTATTAACAGCTGGTAACTCATTTCTTCCCCTTTTTCCTTCAACCTTTTTGTTTCTTCAATGGTGTTTACCACTATCAATGCAGACTGAGCAGGACCAGACTGGTATGCCCAGAAACAACAGGCCCATATGTTCTAATTTGACATCAGTAACTAAAATCTCTTCACCTCAGCTGGCTCACTGAGGTGCTCAGCTACATCACCTAGGAGAAGCCAAGTACATACTTCACAATACCACTTAACTCTGCAACTATCATCACAGACAATTTTAAGATGAACTACATACCTTCTGGCATTAAGAATATCAAAAGAACTTTAAAAAAAAAAAAAAACAACAAGAATCACTGAGGAGCAAATAGTAAATTTTACCTAAAGTTTAGCAAAACATGACTTTAAGGGAACAGAAATTCATTAAAATCAGTTTTCAGGTCCAAAGATGGGCAACAAGGCTTGCAAAGAGCTTGGAGAATATGCCCTACAAGGATAGAGTGAAGGAACTGATGCTGTTCAGTCCGAGGAAAAGGAGGCTGAGGGGAGACCTTGTTGCTCTCTTCCAGTATCTGAGAAGTGCTTACAGCAAGGGTGGGGTTGGTCTCTTCTCACTGGTGACAGGACGAGGGGAAACGGCCTCAAGTTGCGTCAGGGTAAGTTTAGGTTGGATATCAGGGAAAACTGCTTTACAGAAAGGGTTGTAAAGCACTGGAATGGGCTCCCCAGGGAGGTGGTTGAGTCACCATGCCTGGATGTGTTTAAAAACCATTTGGATGTGGTGCTCAGGGACATGATTTAGCAGAGGGTTGTTAGAGTTAGGGTAGTGTGGTTGGATTCCATGATCTGTAAGGTCTTTTCCAACCTGAGCAATTCTGTGATTTAATGTCTACATGGTTATGAGAGGACAGCAGTGCAGATTCATCATAGCATAAAGAAGCTATGCCAAGGTGTGTCAAATCCAGGCTACTATGAAACAACACATTTCAAACACTTAAGCATTTATGAGATAGAAGCAGAACCAAGTAGATACCAAATGAAAAGGAAAATGACAGCCATGGAATTTTAGATGGGGAAATAAAGAGAACTGCATAAAATCTGTGCTGACTATATACAGGCTATTTAAATACCTCAATCATTCGTCAATTTATTTTCTGAAGTGCAAGTCAGCATGCATTAGGTACTAGGATACAATACAACAGTTGTCCCAGCAATCAGCATATGCTATCCTGCCCAATCACCTCTACACAAGTCATTTAAGACAAATGGGAGGCTCTACCAAAAGCTTAATCAGCAGCCTACAGACCAAATTCAGCATGACATTTGCAGAAAAAAAAAATCTTAACTTTTAGTCACAAATGCTTCTAGATAAACTTCTTGACTTTTAAATGTTCTGCCTTCAGTTTCAGCTTATTAAATACTTCACATAAATTATATTTCTGTGTAAGGAAAACATACTCAGCCCTAGAAATACTAATAGATAAATAATAGTAACAAAGGCACTAGTTCATGAAAAAGCTGCTAAAGAACTGAAGCAGCTTGCTTGTATTTACTAGTTTCCTCTTCAGTACCATTTTTTAGTGTATGTTACCAACCTCAATACCACTTTGTCTTGCTAGTTTTACAGCTGTGTTGTAGTAACCACAGCGTAGGAGGTGTTCCACCATCATACGGTCCATTCGTTTCTTCTTCCACATGTTTGCAGCAGCTGGCTGGTCACTACTGTGTTCTTTCAGGTGTTCAATCCTACGTTTGCAGAGTTTTGCACTCTCATCTTCAGCCTGGATTGACTCAACTGCCTAAAAAGCAGAAGTTAACAGGAACAAATCAGGGCTATACAATCTCAATTGGCTTTTAAAAAAAAAAATAGGAGTTGTTAGTAAGCGTTCTTTATATAGTTACTCTTTCTGTAGTTACTCTTGATAGCATTTCATTTAGAAAGACAAATCTCATGGTAGCACATCAGTTTCAGCATACTTGGTCCACTTTTGAGACACTGGCATACTATTAACAGACACTTTTAACACAAGTTACTTATGAGCACATGCACATTTAATCAGTTGCTTTTTTCTTACTAGCTGAATGTTAAGAGAAAAAAAGCAAAATATATTTTGGCATAAAGTTGTCTAATAACCTGCAAAGACCTTCATGCAGGTTCACAGTCACCTGGAACTCATGAATTTCCACCTCCAACTTGTGCATGGCTTCTTCCTCAAGCAGCTGTCTTACTGAATTACTCCTGCTAAGCAGTGATTTAGAGTAAACCCACATTATTTCTAATGTACTGGAGCCATTTTAATCAGTTCCTACATTAATGAAAATTATACAAACATTTGGTCCTTTAGCAACTTTAATTCAAGGGTCTTAAAGGAATTTTTCCAGTATTATTAGCACTACCAACATGGTATGATTTTACTTCTACCACTCTGGAAGCACGTCTCTGTTAGGAGCCTTACTTGGGAAAAATAAATGTATCCAAAGGAAGAACAACAACACTTGGAGTTGTTCTATTTATGTCCCTTGCAACAGAAATTATTCTACTCCAACACTTAAATTCACATATTGGCATGCCTAGTGCAAAAGAGACAGCAGTATTCCCATATCAGAATCACAGAATGGCCAGGGTTGGAAGGGACCTCAAGGATCATGAATCTCCAACCCCCTGCCACAGGCAGGGCACCAACCTCCACATTTAATACTAGACCAGGCTGCCCAGGGCCCCATCCAATCAGGCCTTGAACACCTCCAGGGATGGGGCATCCACAGCCTCTCTGGGCAGCTGTTCCAGCACCTCACCGCTCTCTCTGTAAAGAATTTCCCCCTGACACCCAACCTAACTCTTCCCTCCCTCAACTTCAAACCATTTCTTCTTGTCCTGCAGTTATCAACCCTTTCAAAGAGTTGAAACTTTATTATTAATCATTTTATTATTAAAACCACCAAATATTGTGGTCAAGCTTGTTCTGATTCAGCCTTGAAGTTCCATAGTCGACTACTAATGGTTCAAGTTTTACCAGGCAATTTTACTACAGTTGTATCTGTAATTTAAAACTTGCTGACTCCATATACAGCACCTGTCAGACATGACCCATAGTTGTCAACAGAACACAAGAATGCTTGCAGTACTTTTATATGCTTGCTAAGGTAAAAGCAAACTAGGAAAGGTAGAAGATGGAAGCTATCTGTGATATCTCACCAGCAATGCAGTTTCAAGTTGGGCTACTTTACCTGGGGTAATTTAAGCTTGCTGGCTTTGTGTTTGAGTACCTCCATGGCTACAGGAACAGGAAATACCATGAAGTTCTCTCATCCAGACACAGACCAAAAAACCTGGGTAACTTTAGGCAGCCTACATCATGCTCCACACTGGCATGGCTCCCTTCGAAGTACTCAAGTTATGCAGCCAGGCTACAATGTCAACCCCAGCTGACACCTTCAGCTGCAGAAGCACAGGTTGATTCTAATCATTTCTACAACATATGTTCACCTACAAGCTTCCATCTAAAACACCAGTCACTATACAAGATGTTTTGCTGTAATTCATAAAAATAACCGAGCTTGCAGAAATTTATATTAATAAATTCAGTTTTATTTTGTAACATAGTCTGGAGATCAGTATTTCATTTATGTTAGAGGTTCCCCCTCCTCCCCCCCTTTCCAGCAAGTAAACAAACAAACCAAAACATACCCAAAACATACTTTCACTTCTCAGAAGTCTGCAGCATTATCAGATGTGAAGACAACCACAAGAATTATTCTGAATACAACAAGGAGAACTCAGGGCAACCAAGCATAAAGGTTGAACCTGTTCTCATTTCAAAGGGCTCACTTCATATAGTTTTGTACCTGGATTTATTCAGCTTTTGCTGTTCTGGCTTCTTTTGATCCTTCTAATGCAGACAAACACTAGATAATCTTCAAAACTCTCTTTAATCTATCTGGACTTGCCCTGCTGGACATTAATAAAACTTGAAGGAGCAAGCATATTAAAAAAAAAAAAAAAAAAAAAAAGGATAAAAATGAAAAAACAAAGGCCTAAGCTGCTCCAGGATCATTTTCAGAGCCCAAGAAACCCACTGTGCTGAAAAGCTCCTTTTTAAGAGGGAGGAAGGTGCTAAGTAAAAGATCCATCCAGTTCTATTACGGCCATCTCAGCAGTTCATCAGATCCCTGTCTAAACACAGAAGGAAGCAGAGATCCCACTTGCATCCAAAGGCCCTAAAGAAAACAATCATTTTTGCTCCTGGCAGGGATTACAGAGAAGACAGTTGGAATCTTCAGCAGAAGCAGGATCTTTATTTCAGGAGACTCACTGTTGGTTAACAGCCATTTATTTTTTGCCTGTTGTCCTTCCTGAGAAGATGCAAGATTTCCCACAGGCTCTCAAAGCAGTTAAAAAAAACGAGCCATTACAATGAAGCCTCAGACCCAAAGCACTCCACAGTCCCTCCAGACACACTCCCAAAGTCAGCAGATTTAACAAGTAAATAACTTACTCCTCCACATCATTACTGCAAACCTATAAGCAAAAAATCTAACACCTCTTTCAGAAACTGTAATTTCTTTCTGTATGCAAGTGAAAAAAATCCACTTCTTTTAAAGCCTCTTGAAGTCTCACAAACCAAAGATGAAAATACAACAATTAGATTTATGAAGGGTTTTGCAGCTCAGCTATTTCAATGCCTAAATAACTGCTAAAGTAGAAAACTCCAAACCAGCACATGACAGTGTTGCTTTTACATTACAAACCTCTGAAGTATTTTGATGCTTCACTTAATAGTCTCAAGATCTATATCTGTTTGCTACTTCATTTAAGTTTTAATGAAATGCCTTCACTAACATTTGCTTATTTTTAGAGAAGCACTGCTCTAATGCCAAGAGAGCTATTTTCATTCTTCTGCAATATATATGTCAAGTAATTTTCTGATGAATTTCAGGATGAGTAATATTCCCACCCAAAACATAGATGCACTATTCCACATATATTTATAACTCATTCTTTTTGGAAATATGCAGTATAAGCACAAAAGTCTGGATGCATTTCAGACAAGCATTCTAGTTTAGCAGTTAGAAGTGTTACTTTGCTGAACCTGGTTTAAAATGCTTCTAGCAATACTCCCAAGGAACTTTCTAACCTGCTGGTTCACTGTCTACAAGAAACATTCAAGTCTCCAACCCAGAACACCTCTCACTTTCCTCTGTAATGAATCCTCAGCACTGTGTACAACATCCAGTCTCCTGTTTTCCAGTCTCCTCTTTGACTTGACTATCCTCAAGTGATAAATGAAAGCAACTGCACAAATTTTTCTATTAAGTGAGCAGGAATTGATACAAAAATTCATTCTGCTGCTCTTTCTTTTCTGTATGCAGAGAAATTGATTTTCAAGACTATTAACACATGAATTTTACTTCTCCATTTTTCAGTTATAACACTGTTCATAAGTGCAGTGAAGCAAGGTTCAGCACATTCTTAGGTTTCCCTGCGCATTCTATACTCTTTGCTTAAGTGCATACCTTGAGAAACAAATCAAAGCAGACAGCATTGCAGAAAGACACTCGACAAACTTTGCAAAGACAAAACAGTAACCAGTAGAACACCTCTTACCTTTCTTTTCAGCACGCTGAGTTTCTCAACTACTCCATCTAGGAGACTAACAACAGAATCCACAGCAGGACAACTGCTCAGTGTCTTCTCCAGCTCTGCCACGACCATCGTAACGTGACTTGTCTCTCGATCAATGTTTTTCTGCGCAGCTCGAAACCGTTTGTTCAGTGTTTCATATGGCACCTGAACGAGAAACACAAAGTCATTAGGATTTCTGTATTTAAAAAAAGTCAGGTCTTCTAGTTAGTTAAACTTCTATCAAGTTTAGTTAATGACCTGAGTTTTCATTTCAAAGCCCTTATTTAAGCTCTTAGCATAGTGCTAACACACTTCAAAGATCATGAAAAACAGTGACAGGAAATAAGCTTGGAGATTTTCTGATACCCATGTCACTTATCCTGCCTTGACTGTAGCAAGCACCAATGAAAACAGAAAGCAAGGAGATGTGTGTTAAAAGGAAAGCTATAATTAAACAATCAAGAGACCACCCTTCAGAACAGGATTTTGATGGGTTATTTCTTTCCAGCAGGAGTTCACAAGATAACTGCAAATTACATTCTGAAAAACTATATGTTATGCATATTGACTCCTGAAACGGTTAGAGATGATACATCAATAGTTATCAGGAAATGCAATAGATATACTAGTTGCTTCTACACAAAAGACTACTTAAGACCACTTTCAATACTAGATCTGCTATGAATATAATGCTAAGGGAAACTTCATCCAATTAAGTTTCCCTTCAGTGAAAAAGCCTATTCCATATGACTCAGTTCAGCCAATCACTTTAAAATTCCATACCTTGGTTTAAAGACTAATTGCTCTTGGAAGTCTTTTGTCCTCTTATTTGTCCCATGTGTTTACAAAACATTCATATCAAAACTGCTGTTGATAGCAGGTAAAAGCACAAATGGAAGTAACGTACAGCCTGCTCAAATTTTATGGGACTAAAAGAATTGGACAAAACAGCGTTCAGCAGTTCTCCATCACGACGCTTCCATTACAGCGAGCACAAGCAACTCAAAGTTGTTAGAACTGCTCTGTTACTTCAGAGCTCCAATGGTAACAGTACCTCTAGAACTAAACATTCTGCTGCTGCACACAACTCATCTGCATCTTATCTTGAAGATGTCCTTTGGGTCATTACTATAATCCTGATTGCTTACTGCTGACGAAAGGCATAACTTCACTAACCACCAGACTTGTGACTGAAGATAAAACAGGAAATGTAAATCAGAGTTCTGTTTGGTACATATCATGTGTATCACAAATCCCTCCAGTTTTATCATTGCTAATCACATTTTATCAAGTCTGCGAATCCATTTTCTTCCTTCTAATCATCTGCATGCAAGAAAGTATCCCCAGGGTCCATCTCTTCCCAGGCTCTAGGGAACAATGACACAGCACAAGCACTGCAGTTCACAATCAGAAATGCACTGAGAAACAGCTCAGGCTCAGCATAAGGAAGAGGAGCTTCCTAAGACTTCACACAACCTGTAACAGGTGGATCTTATTTGCTGTGGGAGTGTAACAATAAGGTTACATTGGTAACCTTATTGATAAGGTACCACAGGACTTCTCCTCCTGTCAGAAACACTTCAGTGTTTCACTTCACTGCAGCGCTTTTTTGCCACCTCAGAGACCCAAAAGACAGAACAAACCTTTACCATGGGAAGTACCACTATGAAGCACTATTTTTCCCTGTAACACTCCTGAAAAAAAAAAAAATCCCAGCACCACAATCCCCCAAGCTGAAACTATGTGAAATAAAACACCACAAAAGGCTTGCCTCCATCATGATCCATCTTTAGCCCTCACCTTCCTGACTTCCACAAAAATAAATCAATAGTTTCAGAGCTCCTCTGCAGACACCATGCGTTGCATAGGGGCACGTGGTTTTGAACACATTTCATAGTAGAAAACCTTGTTTCCAGCTTCACAGCTTAATGCCAAACAACACTCTGACAGTACCTTCCTTGATCCCCCCACTCCCACCCCCCTATTCTTACTACTCATTAAAAAATACATTTTCTTCAGTTACCTGTATTTACTGGGTTTACTTTCTGCAAGCATTTTGCCCATCACCTTTCCACACCACACTGAAGACATGCTTCAGTCAACACCCGCAGAAGTTTGAGGTACCTTTGACTATCAAAAGTGGTTTTGTTTAATTCTGAAGACACTTACCCTTACCCTTGAAAGCCTTACCCTTAAGCTCCCTTTTCCTGAGTTTCTTTGCAGCATACAAGAGCAATAACACTTCCCGTTTCCCATCCTCTGTCTCCGCTGCACACAAGTTTCTGGCACGCTCTGTGTTCCTATGACATTTAGAACAACTGGACTTTCAATTTCAGCTGACATCCTTACACATTTATATTGTGTCAAGGTACAATAGGTCTTTGATTCCTGTTTTATCCATTCCCCATCCTCCATGTCAAAGATTTTTACAATCTGATGTGGAAAAGGCTAAGAGCTGAATAATTTTACCATATCCTCTAGAATTAGATACAGATATTTCTAAACAATTTAACATATCAAGGGAAATGACTACAAGTAAAAGAACATACTTGTACAACTGCTCAATCTTGACCACTTGTCCTGTTGTTACCTGCAGCCTGAAACCACAGAACTCTTCAAAAGGCTACAGGCATTACATCAGTAAGTTTACAATTTACTCCAATACTAAAAGTAAATGGAAAAAAAAAGTAACCAAGCTGCTACAGACTACCAGAGACATAACACTTTTACTGCCCCTATCTTTCCATGACCAAACCTGGATGAAACAGCTATCCCTAATCAGGGCAACTGGTTTACAGAGCTCAGCCTGATTTAAAATCACTACTTTAAGAGAAAATAAAAAGGAAAACACTACTAAACATCAAACAGTTTGAAACAAAGCTGCAAGAGCTGACAAGAATGTATTTTGGAAAAAGCTCAATACCAACTTGTCCTACTCACTGAAGCTGGAAAATATACATTACACTTACAAGCACACAAAAGGACAAAAAGGATCAAAATTTGCAGGCAGCATGTGTGAGTTCAGTGTCACTAAATCAGTTCTGCATCATTTCCTCATCAACTTTCACAGCTGCAGATACACCATCCAAGAGAAGCATGCACTAAAACAAGTCCAACTTAATTCCAACTCCTCCGAAGATCGAAGTTACAACAACCTACACAATGGATAAAGTCACGGAAATAAGTTTTTCCAAGATCCAGATTTTCCTACTGAAGCATTAAGGACAGCCCGCTTGGCTGGAGACTTGTGCACACAACTGCTTCTAGGTGCTAAGTACTAACAGAGAGGCAGACATAACTGAATAATCTGATCCAAGTGTTTTCTTCATTGCAGCCATTACTTCACTCTGCAGTGTGAGCAAAGCAAGCCAGAAAGCTTTGGCAGAGCATGTTCTGGGACAGCACAAGCACTTGTAGCTCTGGAGACAATCCTAGGAGAGAACTCTTCCGGGTCTTAAAGCTGAAATCAGAAGAAGAGGTGGAAAGAAAACCCTGAGAGCTACACCTGACTTGTTCTCTTTTCCTTCCACTCAGATGAAAAACACAGCTAAGAACATACAGCAGCAGCTTTAAGCTTATACTTAAACTCCACTGCAGCATTAACTGCCGTGCCTTCACCCATATATGTACATAAGGTGCTAGGGCAAGACTGATTAAGGCTAAAAATAATGGTTTCAGTCTGATTAGATTGATTCTCAAATCGTGTAGGAGCAGTGGCTAGGACTGTTGAACAATAGATTTAATATAGCACTTGAAATACCCTTAAATATACTGACGGCTGAATTTGAAATTAACTACTAAATACAATTTCCATCAAACTACACTTTGGAAGAAGCCATTCCTTTACTAAATGAGGCCATTTTCTCGACATTTTCTAAACGTGTAACGAAACTAAGGAGAAACAGCAAGTATTAAATGCTTGCATATATTGTATCCTGATGGTTAGCAGACTGTATACATTTCTCAACTGTTTACTATCAGATTTTAGAAGAATCAATGCAGAAATACGAACAACATCATTAAGTCAAAACAAGCAATCCTCTATACAACATTTAAATGAGATTCTTTAATTTTCTTCTAAATGCACCTACATGCACATATTTAGTACTCTACCCATAAATCAGAAATATAGAAACAGACTGCCCACAAAGATTTACCTCAAGCCAAACTTCTCCATAGCTTCAGTGAAAACTGACTTACAAAAAAACAACACATGCCATAAGGAGATACCATCTTCAGTCTTCAGCATTACAGGACTGGAACGCATATCATTTTCACCCTCACAGAAGTTCCATGATTATAGCGATCAAAGCTTCAAGATCTCCACTGCCTCAGAAGTATTTAACATCAGTGGGAGTCAGAGAAGCAGCCTGGACTTTGCCACTTTTAGCACCTGGAATTCCACTAAGCAGCTTAATGACATCTTGAGAACCTTGTAATGCTTTGGCTGTTCAGCAAACCCACAGCTTCCACGACAGTCAGTCACTCCTCTTTCATTAGGCACTGGGGTTTCCAAACATACTTTCTCCCAAATACAGAACCTTTTATGTATGAAATTAAAATAAAATAACTATGGCAAAATGATTTTTGCAAAGGTGTTACACTAACCCAGCCACAACAAAAAGCAGGTTGAGTCACAACTAGAAATGCAGCGCTCCCTATCATCATGGTAAACAGACATCCATTTTATTCAGCTGCAGTTCCACTAATAAGCAGTTTAAGTGACAAAGGCTTTACAGACAGATCAGCAGAATAATGAACATGAAGAAAAGCATCAAGCTGAAAGTGTGCCTTAGCAACAAAGGACAGTAAAGCCTCAGCAGTAAATGCTGCCACTGTCTCCACTTTCCAGGTTTTCTCCCAAACCTTTCAACTCCTGTACCAAGCAACTGGTCAGGGCAGGGGAGTTGGATGCATAGAACACTAAGTAGGCTTAAGGAAAGGAGAAAATGACACTGCAAAGCTGTTACCACCTCTCTGAAACATCATGGCAAACAAAGAAAGTCCTCAGTGACTACAGAAGGGCACATTTATTGCATCTCTTCCAAAAGAGAGAACGTGAAAAACGTGGTCTTTCACTTTCTTTGTAGCCAGACTAGAGAGATGCAGGCTGAATGAGTGGAATATAACCTGGGTTTGAGACTGACTGGACAGCCAGGCTCAAACAACAATGATCAGTGATTGAAAATCCACCTGATGACTTACAGTATCTGACTCCCAAGGACTGCTATCAGCTCCCATATAAACGTCTTCATCACTGATCTGCATAATAGGACAGAATCCACAGGCTCATGGAGGACAACAAACAGCCAGAGTGCTCAGCAATGCTGGATGGTAGAGCTGATATAAGAAAAAGTCTGACAAGCTGGAGAAATGCACTAAAAGCTTCATGAAATTCAATAAGTCAAAAACCAGAGCCCTGCACCTTGCACAGAACAGTTCCATAGATTAGCAGAGGCTGCAGAATAACTGGCTAGCACTACCTCCGAAGAAAATGATGCAGAGGTCCTGATGGATGACAGGCAGGACTGGAATAAGTAACAGACTCCTGAGGCACAGAAAGTTTACCACATACTGGGCTGCATTAGCAACACTGAAGACAGAGGTTTGAGAGGAATGATTATTCTCTATGCTCAGAACTCCAGCATACTCATTTAGAATATTAAGGCTGTTTTTCAGGGCCCTTCACCATTCCATATAGATGAGTACAGCAGGAGGACATGAAATCAAGAGACTAAGAGAGGCAGACCTGTTTCACCTGTAGAAGAGAAGGCTACAGGAAGCAGGGAGGGGCACGGCCTGACAGCAGTCTTCTGCTACCTAAACATGAGTGACATAGATAAGAGCTTCCCAGAGTTACAGTAAAGAGGAGGGAGGCATAGTTGACAAGTGTCATATGGAGATATGAGTGGCCACAGCAGGTGAGACCAGAAGTCCCTCTGTAACTGTGCTTCATCTGACAGCATCAGCACTTGAAAAGGCAAGAATTTACTAATCCCAAATGGTCTCTTAAGACTATCTGAACAAGAGGTGGGAGTTTTACAGTACAAACACCACAGGTTATCATCCATGAGCTCTTCTGGTTGTTCTTGACCTGCAGAATTTCAGCAGTGCAACATCCTACAGTGAGGCATTTCACTGTTTCATGCACTGTGTGAAGAAACACTTGTTGGTTTTCATTTATCATTTACTAGCCTCATTTGAAACCATTCAGTTCCTTTGGAACAGAAAAGCACGTTCACCATCCCCATGACCCTCATGCTGTCTCTTGAGACTGAAGATGCTCTCCATTCTTTGAAGACAGCCGTCCACATCTCTACTCATTCTTTCCCTTCTGTGGACATTTTCCAGCTTCACTGCATCTTTCTTCAAGATGAGCCAAGGAAGAAAGTCATTCTAAGAATGATACCATGCATTTTTACCACTACAAAAAAATCAGTCTCTTAATTTTTCTCCCTTTCTAAACACTTAACTTGATCTTGTGGACTGTTCACAGAACATTCGCTATAATCCTTAAATCTCACTAAGCAATAATGAAGACTTCAGAATCTTTTATTTTACATATAAAATCATTTTTCCTCACACAATCTCAAACAACTGTAACAAACATTTACCTACACTCAATTTCACTTATTTTAATACCTCTACCATCTCTTGTCAAATGCCTCACACTTAGTTTGCATCTATAATGCTATAATTACCTCTGTATCATCAGGGAAATGGAATCAACTCAGTACTTGTTCTCTGTTCCAAGCTGTTCAAGTCAAATATCAGCAGTTCTAGCAGAGACTAGAGCAGAACACTAATATTAACTTTATTCTGTGCAAGGCTGGCTACTAAACCTTCATGTTTATTTCCTCTCTTCTGCCCAATTACCAATCCAGTTAAAAGCTTCTTTCTTTCAAGAGTTCCTGGTAAGCGATACCTACTAAAAGCATTCTAGAATACTAATTAGCAAAGTGTCATCCACCCCCCTCCCCCCCTCCCCTCCCCCCCCCCCGCAACTTCTACCTTTATTTTTAAAAGATTACAGAAACCCAGGATTTTTGCATGGGCTGACTCTCATTTTTTGGCCCTATTAACTAATAGGGAGCTACTTTATTAGGACCTTAGGAGCTGCTTTATCAGGAAGAATAGTTTCTGCCCATCAATAAGCTGCTAGATGGAAGGGGAAATCAATTACACTTACAACTCACAAAAATTTCCTTAAGGAAGCAGAATCATTGAAACACATCCTTCTACTTTGTCACAACTGTCCCACAAAAAAACAAAACAAAACACCTCAGTACTTCAGGAAGAAGTGTCAAATGCATTTAGTAGAGAGTTTCCAGAAAGCCATGGATACAGGATTGTATGAAAAAAATCTAAGTCAGAGTAGAAACGAGCCTTTATCCCCCCTCAAGTCCTGAGCCTTTGAACTCCAGTTCTCAAACTGTTCTGCTCACATCCTACAGACTGAATTCCTTCTTCACTTGAACTGATTCAAGCCTGAAGAGTTCCACATAATAGCAGAAATTAAAACCAACCAATCTGCCTGACCAGAACATTAAAAAGATCATTCCTATTCCACAGTGATTGCATATAAAAACTACTTAAATTGCAGCTATCATTCAACTACTGGAAATTATACAGCAAGAATGATACTTCAAAAACGTCATCACAATGGAAGGAAGAATTACGTGGAAGCACTTCCAAATGAAAGAGTGAAAGCCACCAATCAATCTCTAGCCTTCAGCTAACACGGATTCTCTAAGGTTTATTTTCTAAAAACAAACTTGTTTTTCCACAAAAAAACTAAGCACAGACAACATCTTTTACATAGGTTTAAAATTTTTGTAGAAGAATAATCCATTCCTCTATTTGATGGAAAGATAACCAGGTCCAGCTTGATAGCAGTACTAACTCACGCAGAGAACTTTAGCTATAAATCCCAACTTTAGTGATGTCTGTATGAATCATCCTCCTTTAACATTAATGCCTCCCAGCTGAAAGCCAGTAAAACTTCTGGCCACAAAGAGTGAAAAAAGAATTGTGTAAGTACAGAAAGACCTACACAGCGTATCTCTTCCAGCGAACCCAGCCTTGGGCAGGAAGGAATTTGCAACAGATTTTTAAAACTCTTTTCAGGTACATCAAGTTGGGTAACTGGTGGGAAGGACAAAGAAAAGGAAGATTCAAGAAAAATAAAATAAGAGTCCTACCAGATGAGATGGGGGAAACCATTACAGAGCTATGCTCTCCTTTCAAGGGTCAGAAAAGTGACATGCTTCCTCTCAACTGTGTTAGCTTATAACACCTGCAAAGCACCAGAGGGTTGTATGAATTTACACATCTTTAAGTCAACCCAACAGAAGATTTTCTGTGGTATAAATAAGTTTTTTCAAATGCAGTGTACTGTGCTTGTGTATGAAATTAAGTCAAGCCATAGATAAGTAGGGAAAAGAAAGCAAGGCTGATTAAATGATCTCAAACAAAAGCAAACAAACACAGAAGCAAAGCCAACTTAGTCTTACTTTATGCAAGGGGAAAGAGGAGGAACAGGAACATGGAAGAGAAAAGAATCATCTCCTAAAGTTTGAAAATAAGCAATATCAGAAGGAGGTAAACAGAGTGAGGAAATACTTTTGAGCTTTAAGATGCTTCCTTGATACTGAATTCCTTCACCTTGCTTACTATCAACAAAAATTATTACGTGTGGTGCCATTTCAAACTTGAAGCAGAGAACACTAAACTGTAGCAAGTTCCCAGTTGAGCCAGCAGCACATAAACATTTCTATGCAGAATCACTGAAACTCTTAATGTTTTTTTTTTTTCCTTTTTATTTCTTCCTCCAGCTCTTAGATAATTCTAGAGCTGAATTGGCATCCTTACTTCTAACTCAACTCATCCAAAATGTAAATTATATCATCACTTATTCACAGAATGAATTATTCTGATTCATAGCTCTTATCAATGCCTTTATTACCCCTTGTAGTGATATTTCTTCCTGTTCCTAGGCAAAATTAGAAAATTAAAAGAAAATTAAAAGAAAGGAGAAGTAACATATATCCAAAATGAGAGGCTTGGAATAATGGCTAGACTTAGGCTGAATTAGTTACAAGTGTGAATATGAATTCTTAAAGATACGGATCAAAAGAGAAAAAATAATTTCACAATCCTTAAATGCAGCTGTAGATCATTTGGATTTTTTTTAGAAATAATTTTTTTTTTTTTTTTTTTGCAGTATAAAACCAAACAGTTCTTAGTTAAAAGTGCCAAAGAAAACATCACCACAATATTTGAAGCTGCTACTTCAAAACACTAAAGAGTTAACAGTGAAAGATCTTAGACTGTTCCTCTGCTACACATTTATTAAGCAGCAGCAATTATCCCAAATATTATCCACTTGTACAAGCTGCTAGTAGTGTATATCAGTACCTGTTCATTAAGTAAGTAAGCAGCTTTTGTGTAAGATCTCCAATAAGTTCAAGCAAATGCTTTACGAAGCTGCAGTATGGTCAGCCAGAACCGACCTGCATCCCAATGCAAGGTTGACAGCCACGTGCAGAGTCCTGCCTCGAGCCACACTATGGGCACAGACTTCCCACAACACTGGTTTACAGCCTCTATCTTAAACCACACCTCATAGGAACGCTCTTTGCTCTCCTCCTTTTAGGAGGGGAAATGAAGCATTCCTCCCTGCCTAAAGCAGCAGCCAACGGGATAAGACCATACAGCAGATCCACACCGTAAGCAAGTTCCTTTCTCTGGTTAAATCCTCCTTTATTCTCCAAACATTTGTTCATTTTAATCCAGCATCACCTGTTTAAATAAAAGCAGTTGCCACTGTCCTCCTCCACGTTTGCACAGCCATGAGCCTTTAGGCTGGGAATCCTCTCTTTGGCCTGACTGCTCCCAAAATAACCAACTCCAGCTGAAGAGACAGCATTGCACCTAACGTATAATTAAGGATTATTGGCTCAGCAGACCTCTATCAGGAAACACGAACAACCAAAGGTCTACTCAATAAGATTACCTGTGTTACTTCAGTGCTCACTGCAGCTTATACAAGGCAACACCCAGAGTGCTCAAAATCAAAGCTGAAGTGAACCAAGTGTGGGATGTGAAACAGTTCTATTATTGGGTACCATGATAAAGATATCCTGACAACAAAACCTTGGTTTACTGAAATAGGCAATAACATACGTCAGATTGGATTAAGTAGCCACTGATACAGCATATTCCACATTCTGTATGAGCAAATACTTCTGTAAGGCGCATCTCGGGCTGTTCATTACGGGAGACCAAACACATAATGAAGGCAGCTTCTGAAGCTGACAAGGATTGATGGATTTTGCCAGTGAGCCCTTTTAAAAACACCCACCTGTGACAACTGCTTCCCTAAGCTTACAGGCTCTAAGGTGCACCGTCATGCTGCTTAATACAGGAACTACTGAAATGAAAGATGGAAGAGGAAAAGAGAATTGGCACTGGGTAGTCCCCAGCATCCAGTAAGGATTCATTTCTCCCACAGAAAGTTTCTTCTTACCATGACAGTTTCCAGCACCAAAACCAACGACATGTCTAGCTCATGGCTCCTTGCTGCCTTAACTGTGTTTTCCTCCTGCACTGATCACTTGCAAATTGTATTTTACAGGGAGTGGACAGGGGTGGAAAAGAGACCAAATCCCACAGGAGCCAACTCCTACCCTCGCTGCTTTCCAAGGTTAAACTCCCTCTGCAGTCCCAATACCAGATTTCTCACTGAGCAGAAACACACTGCACCGAGTGCAGCAGAGCAGCAGCACAAGGCGTCACGCCTGTTTGCTGGCATGCAAGCATGAGGTGTTGAAACAGGAAGTGCATGGTTCAGCAACATACTAATGCTTGGTATGGATATTTAATGCGTGCTGAGTGAGTCACAGCAGCCACTTTGAAGACAGATTTAGTGTGAGATACAAGCACTCCCACCACATTAGCACAGAGCTCATTGACTACTATAGCCAGCTTCAGCCTTCCATCTGAGGAGCATTTCAGCCACTTACTGATCAACGACTGCCATGAATTTGCTGTGCAGATACACTGAAAGGGCACTAGGTATTCCAACTGTATTACCTCTGTCCTCGTGTTGTCTGTACCTCTCTCACTGAGCAACTTCTGCTGTTGTACATTCAAAGCCAGACATGCACCACTGAATACTTCCGTCAAATTACAAAGCTACGATTAAAAAAATAAATTCCAATCAAGCGTATAAAGGTGGAAATAAACTTTTCTGCCTTAGCAGGAAAAAAAAGTCGACCAGAGTAATCTGCCATTTTCATTCAAGATTCCGCATGGTGGTTCAGCGTGCACCTTCACAGTCTGCAGTTGATATAAAACTTGAAGCTGCTCAGATGCCAGATGGTCATGCTGCTGCTCAGAGGGACCCCAAAGGCTGGAGAAAAGGGCAAACAGAATCTCACAGAGTTCAGAGGGAAATGTCAAACCCTGCATTTGGGAACAAACCACCAAATGCAGCAGTACCTACTGGAGACAAACAGGTTGGAAAGCAACTTTGCAGAGTAGAACCTGGAAGTCAGAGTGGACAAGCTGACTGTGCAACAGTAAGAGGCCTTTAGAGCAAAGAAGCCCAACAGCCCCCTGAGCTGTGTCGAGAGCAGCACGGCCAGCAGGGCAAGGAAGGTGAGCCTTCCCTTCCACATGAATTATGCTCATCTGGAATGCTGTAATCAGTTCTGGGCCTCCTCTATAGGAGGGACACAGCAGTGTGCACAGAAAAAGGCCACAGATTACCAACAGGTTGGAGCATCTCACATATGAAGAGAGGCTGAGAGAACAAGGACTGCTTAGCCTTGAGAAGAAAAGGCTCCTGCTAAACCAAATCCACGTGCACTACACCTGATGGGGACACGAAAGAAGATGGAGACAGACTACATCTCATCAGATGATGAGAGATAAAGACAATAGGCAGAAAATGGAAGACAGAACAACTCCATGTAAGCAATTTTTTGTTTGTTTGTTTTAAATTCATAACAGAGGTCAAGCATTAGAACAGATTTGCCCATGGAGGCTGGAGGCTCCATCTTTGAGATTTTCAAGACCAAGCAGAACATGCCCTGAGCAACCTGCTCTAGCTGCCTCCACTTTGAGCTCAGCCGGTCGGAGCGATGCTGTGAAGTCAGGACAGAAACAACATATGTTCTGTTATCTGTTCCCCTATTAAAAGATCAGGTAGACATGGTATTTCCTTGAGAAATTAACATCTTATTAAGTCTGCTGCCAGTATTCCCCCAACACCGCTGCCAACAAAAGAAGCCAATCAGCAGCATCGAGATGATGCTCAAGAATTCTGTGCTTCCACAACTCTCATTTTGACCAGCTGTTTTTTTTTTTAAAGCAGATAGCTTTAAAAAACCACAGCTAACCCTAAACTGTTGCCAGTGAACAAGAATATCATGACATGACCATCCCCTTCTTTAAGATGGAAGACCTTACAGTTTTGGGGTCCTATTCCATTTTGCTTGCTAGTTCAGTTTAGTGATTACTCTCACTGCTAAGGACACAGATGAACCATCGAGCTTCTTGTCATCACTTGTTTATTAGTGTTTCAGCAAAGAACCACAATAACAATGCTCGCATTCATTCATTTTTAAGTTGCCAGCCTTCATGTTCTATCCTCCAGCTGAAGCCTGCAAAACTCTTGATCAGCAGGCTTTCTCCCCCCCCCCCCCCCCCTTAAAGATTCCACAGCATTTCGAATGAAGAATAGCTGGCAGCCTTCTTGTCCTTGACAAGGAGGAGGCACGCTGAGGAAATACTCAAGCATTATTTTATATGCTTAAATAACTTCTCTAGGTTCATCTGAAGAAGTCAGTTTACTCCTCCTCAGCTGAACTGCTGAAGAACAGCTGAAGCATTTCCACTTCTGCAGCTGCCACAATCCAGCAGTGGCAAAGGGATGTCCCTCTGCAGTTTTAAGCATTCTTCCACATGAAAGGCACTGTGTAGAACATACAGCAAATGCAGAGCTATTACACAACCACTGTCTAGTGATGTCGGCATGAAGAAGCTAGTGGGAGAAAACATGAAGGACATACATGTAAGTCTATAATCTTTTATATTTTCCTCACATCAGGGAAAAATCACCAGTATCTAAAACTCCAGGAGAAATATCTCAAGCCACTGCATTGGTGATCATAATTAAAAGCACAAATGACTGTGCATCATTTCACAAAACTGAAAATCAAATCCCCACAGGGTCTCAGTCCAGTGGAAACTTTTAGGCACCTGCCTGCCTCTTAGTAAACAAAGTGGAATTTGCTGTCAACATATTTCAGCATACTTGAGCCTTCTGTGATCGTCTCTGCCCGTTGCTTTTTCACCTTCACCACTAAATTGTTTTGATACATGACTCATGGTTAACAGCATTTAAGAGGTCATAAGAAAAGCTTTGAGCAGACATTACTATGGCAGGTTTTTTAAGCAAAAAAAAAAAAAAAAAAAAATGCTACCAAGGATTAGAGAAACAACTCAGCAGTTGAATGGGTGCTGGGAAGGATCAATAAACACCAACCTCCCTAGGAAATTTAAAGGGCATCTCACTCTTTTACTGTTTAGCTTCCCAACATTACAAACAACATTCCATCCTTCAATGTATATTTTTGTTCAGATTTGTCAAGAAAAAAGCAGGCTTGGGGGAATGTAAGAATTAGTCCAACACATTCTCCAGCTTTTAAATGGCTGGCACCTTGACAATTCGTCTTAAGTCACAACCAAGAAAACAAGAACTCCCTGATCCTCACTGCCAGTAATTTTTCAGGAATGTAACAAGCAGAGCTGCGATAACAACTGGAATAAGTCTGAAATGCAGCTGTAAAACGATCTTCTTAACTTTAAGGGCCTTCACATTGCTGTGGCCATGGAAAGTGCTAGAGTGCTCTCGAAATGCATTTTAGAAATCAAGATTGATAGTATCAGGGAAACAGTGATGGAAAGATGCCTCTCCATGTAAAAAAGAAAAGGGAATTAAGATTTCATTCTTCTGCTTCTTGGAACCAAATTAAAAGCTGGGAGGGTGGGGAATGAGGACATGCACAGGAAGAACACAGCCAAAAAGCGTGCAAAACAAACACTGCTCAAGGCACACAGTACTGACTGTGTGAAGGTGCAGTATGATCTCAGCATCACAAAGTTTAGCTGCAAACCACCTCCTATACACAAAAAGCTGCTGATGCACTGTCCTGGGAGATGCCCAAATCACTGTTCTGCACCACAGCTCCTTTCAACTGCCTCCCTCAGCCATACCTATTAAAGTGGTACACCTCCTGCACACACCACCAGTGTCCAAACAAAGGTTTCCACTGATTCCTACAAGCATCATCACCCTTCCAGCTCAACCATTGCTGAAGCGATGACCTCAAGGCTCAGCCTTAAGTCCTTCAGTCCCTTCACCACACCGATGGCCAGAAGCCACCGTCCTTCAGACCAGCACAGCGCCCTCAGGAACACTCCATGCTCTCAGCACAGCTTTGCCTGACCGTAATTACGTCGCTCATATACCCCTACAGGCCTTTTTTTCACCCCCCTCCACTACATTCACTCCTTTTTTCGCGCGTTTTCCATCCTCGGGGAGGCAGGGAAGGCCGTTCTCCCCCCCTCCTCCCTCCCCTCAGCACCCCTCGCACTACCACACAGCACCCACGGTCCTCAGCCCAACCTGCCCCCCCCTCCCAGCCCTGCCTCCTCCCCACCCCGCAGCGCTCGGGGCCTGCCCCTTCCCCTCAGCGCCGTATTCCAGGCACGTCCCTCGCTCCACAGCGAGAAGCGGAGGAGGGGAGAAGCCGCGGTGGCTCCAGCCGGACGACAGGCGGGGGGGCGGCCGCGGGGAACCCCACACACACGACACGGACGCCGCGGTACTCCGAGAGGCGAAAGGGAGCCGGGGAAGCCCCACTAAGGCAGAGCCCTCCGCTCCCCTCAGCGCTCCCCAAGCTGGACGCAGGCGGCTCTGCCTTACTCCTGTTTGCCAGGCACCCACCTTGAGAGTGGGGTATTCCTGCACCTTCAAAGTCATTGAGAGCTGAGCAGCTGATTCCTGCACCGCCATCTTGGATCGGGCACCAGCCTCCCTCCTCCTCCCCCGCCCTCCCCAGCGCGGAGCGGAGGCAGCTACCTACAGCGCGCGCAGCATGCCGGGCAATAAAGGCCTTCCTCCGCCCCATCACTCATGGAGACGGCGCGAACCAACACCGCTCGCTCTTGCCCGCCCACGCTGCTCCTCCTCCTCCCTCCCCCCCGCCGCCGCGCCGTGGTTCGCTCTGCGGAACGGTGGTGGCGGAAGAGCTATAGCGGGGCGAGAGGCACCAACCAATGAAGGCAGTCCTTTCACACGCTCCGTTTATGAGCTTTCATACCGCCTTAGAGCTTGAGAAGCCGCGCTTGATTGGATGGCGCTGTGGGAATGGGCGGGGTCGCCTAGAAACACGGACAAATCAAACGCCTGAGTTAAGGATTACGGCACAGGGATAGGCGGGATGTTTAGAGTTGATGGACATCGAACCGCCCAGTCAGTGTAGAAGAGGCGTTCACATTGCCCAATCAGAATCTGTCATAGATATGAGTAGGCGGGACCTAAAAGTAAATTTTGCCGGTGACTTGAAACGGCCGTTTTAACGCTCTCTCGAGGTGTCCGGGAAGGGGAGGGGAGGGACGAGGGGCGGAGCCCAGCAGGGGCGGGTGTTGACAGGCAGGAGTTCGGCCCAATAGTGTCCTGTCGCTCAGCTGACAGACAGGCTGCTGAGCGAATGGGAGGCCCGGCCAGAGATAAAGGGCGGGGCGGCATGCCCGTAGTGTGGCTCTGTGCATATTGGCCGGGAGGGAAGGGAGGGGGCCGCGCTTAGTAAGTTCCGCGGGGTGGAGAGAGCGAGTGAGAGGCAGTGAGGCGGAGGCGGCGGGAAGAGGTTTAAATAGCGGAGACAGCGTGAGTCCCCCTTCCCTCAGTTCCCTCAGCCCGGCCCAGCTTGGGCTCACCCTTCCCAACCTCTCGCTGAAGGGGGGCGGCCCGGAGCGTCTCCCTCACGGCTGCGGGGAGGCCCCGACCCGGCGCCGAGTTTTACCGGTGAGGGGCGGGAGCGGCTGCCTCGCTCGCCGCCTTTCCCCGGGGCAGGGCTGGGAGAGGGCGGCTCCGGCCGTCGGTTCTGCTGCGGCCGTTGGAGCCTGAGGGTGCCGCCTCCTCAACCCGGGACTTCGCACCGGGTTCGTGTTTCGGAGGCTCTTTCTCAATGGGTTCCTCTTAGCGCACCACACGGGGCCGTTCCGCTTCCACGAGTCCCGGGAGCGGTCCCGATGAGGAGCGGCGGTTCCGCGAGCGCACAGAGCGCCCTGGGACGGCGCCGTGCGGGGTGAAGGCGCTGCTACAATAGCGGTCCTCTACTCGGTGGTACGCGGGAACGGCTGCGGCTCCGCACGGCGCTGCCCCTCCTCCCCCGTGACCCCGGCACGGCCCGCAGTCCGGGCGCGGAGCTCCGCGGGGCGACCCTGGGCTGTGCGGCCGGTGTAAAGCCGGTGGCCGCCCGTGTGGGACGATGTTGTCGTCTTTTCCCTCGTTTCCCTAAGATGTGTAGTTGTGGGATTGCCAGCGTGCGGGAGAACGGGCTGCTCTGAAAGTAATGCCTCCTGTTTTACCACGCCGGCCCACGACATCGGGGCGGATGTTGGTGGGATGTCAGCACGGGTTGAAGCTTCCCACCGATATCCCGTTACAGTTCGTTACCGTGTGACAGATGGCAGCAGAGGGGCACCCTGACAAAATGGCGTCTGACATGGAAATGTTCATGAGCCAAAGGTGTGTCGTTGCATTCCTCTGTGTGGAAAATAATGGCACCCATTGACATTCACTGATGCTCGCTGAATGTTTATAGAGACCAAACAGTGGACGTGGGCACTCACCACCTCTTTGTGCTGCATTTCAGCTCTGGCAATGGTGGTTCACCTCTGCTAGTTCAGGTTTTTGAGCATGGTGCACAGTCTCTTGTTCATACCTGGCAAAAATGCATAGCTAATGGTGGTGACTGCACTGAAAAACAGTGTTTCATAGCTGAAATTTTGTGCTATCAAATAGTGCTTTGTTCTCTTTGTATCTGTTGTAGTTTCTGTTGGAATAAGTAGGAAACATTACTTTTGATGTGACCTATGTTTCTCTACAAAAGTTCTTTACAGAGGAAGTGGTGAGGTGCTGGAACAGGCTGCCCAGAGGTGCTGTGGATGCCCCGTCCCTGGAGGTGTTCAAGACCAGGTTGGATGGGGGCCCTGGGCAGCCTGGTCTAGCATTAAATGTGGAGGTTGGTGGCCCTGCATGTGGCAGGGGGTTGGAGATTCATGATCTTTGAGGTCCCTTCCTACCCTGGCCAATCTGTGACTCTGTGAAGCAAGTTTCTTGATTTGAAAGAGACAGCTGCTTTTCACAAATGTTTGTTGTTTAGAATGTTTGGTGGGTTCTTCGTTTCCAGTGGACGTGGGCCCAGTTGTATTTTCCTCACCCATAGACTGATGGTAATTAAAAGGAGGCATGTGAATTTGTGTTGCTGTGTGTTAGATTCTCTTCAGGTTTTGACTGCAAACTATTTGCTCGTGTTCACTCTCAGCTCTCCTGATGCTGACCATAATCAGCAAATGTATGCCTGAACATAACATGCCAAGCACATGCCAGGTGCAAAGGCTTTGTTTAAAAGGTTTATTAGTAAATCCATTTGTAGTCGTTACACCTGGGATTAACGCTCATGTCCAGGCATGATCTTGGGGCTGGATTCTGCAGGAGGGTTGGTGTAAGGATGGCTCTGACTCCAGCAAGGCTCTGTGCAGGGAATGGTTTATGTGAGCTTGTCAAACTGAAAACTTAGCTCAGTTGATGCTGAATTTAGGAACGTAATGGTATGGCATTCTTCCTGTTGTTCCAGTCTGCTTTAAATATTCTGTAAGCTAATATTTACAAGGAAATCTGCTGTTTAATATTCTATATCACTGATGTTACTCAACAGCTTTTCAACAGAACTGGGTGCACTTTTAACTCTTCAGATCCCTGTGTGATATGTGCAGGCACTGAAGAAGGGAGTCTTCCTGTGTAATTAGCCCAGCTGTGTATATATTTGTCCAAAAATCTGATTCACACAGATTTTTCATACGTGATGTCCTCAGTGGTCCTTTTTGTTAATACAGTAGTTGATGTAACATAACACAAATGTTCTATGGATAAAGGCTGTGTGCTCAGGCTGGACCTGTCTTTAAGTTTGAGAATTACTGGTGATGGTTTGTCAGGCATTAGTAGCCAAAGTTAAAGGGCTTGCGTTGTAGAACAGATGGCCAAGTAACCATCATGTCAGAGAAAACAGCATGTATTCCGTGTATTCTTAGTTTAACACAAGAGGGAGCATGTCTAATCTTTAACCTTTAAATATTGCAACTTCGGAGAGGAAGCTTTAATTGTTGAGTGTCAACTAATTTATGTTCTAGGCTCCATGTACAAATATTGATACAACCTATTCATATTTCTGGCATGTTTTCAACTTTAGGTTCTAGCTGTTGATTTATAGTACAAATGCTGGCCTGGTAAATGTGGAGGTAAGAACTAAGCTAATGATCTTTTGAGCTTGTTAAAATCTGTAGCTTCCTGCTGAATTTAACAAAATATTTATGGTTGTTTCTATTCGTGGATATGGTTATTCATATACAGAGGTTGTACTTTGTTCGTTAATATTAGGTTAATAAATGTCTTCTGCTTAACCTACCATACGAAGTTATCAAGCCCAGATTTAATTAAATTAAGTTCATTTTAATTGCCAGTATGGCTTTGCTTTTACAGGTCTTGTAAATTCTGCTACTCTGTTCATAAATAAGAAACACAAATTTGGAACCATTAAGAAGGTTTACATACTGCGTCTTATTTATTTTTCTCTGTCCCCTAGTGGTGTAAATGGGATAAAAATCAGTTTCCATTTTGTATTTCTTGGCATTGTCCAGTTGAATCATAATCTGTTAATGCTTGTTCTTGTTTAGCATCTTACCAGTATATTAGCTGTTAATTACAATTAAACAGAGCATACAGAATCCTCCAGCCTTGTTTGAAGATGTCTTAGAGGCATTTCCAGTTGTTTTCCGCTTTGCATTGATAGCCTCCATAGCAAGGTGGCAGAAGGGAATGTGCATCTCTGTCTTTTCTCTCTTTAGCACACAAAGCTGCTGTAGGGATTGGGTGTAAGGATTAGGTGGGACGGGGTATTGCCACATAGGCAAGGAAGAGCTGTCTTTCCTCTGTGTAGACAGGTAGTTATGGTGCTGTCCATGTTATAATGTGGAAGTGGAAGCCTCTGCTTTGTTCTTCTGGTGAGTTAAGATGTGTATGAGATAATTAGAACCTCACCTTTCACATTAATCTCTCTGAAGAATGAAAGTTCAATGTTATGTATTTTTTTTTTTTTTACCATCTACTGCATACATAACAAGGTGTTAATGGAAGTAGTTTGCCTTCAAAATATGCCCAGCAGCTCATTTGTGTTAGTAGGACAGAAATGTGAGGTGACCAATGCTATTTTCAGGTACCTTCAGATATTCAGGAGTTGTTATGATTTTTAGGAGATCTATGAGGATTTGGGAAATAAGTTCTTGGAGTATTTTGAGAGCTACTTATTGGGAAAATTGTTGCTGTGTTGAGTTATTCACAGCAACAGAGCATTTGTAAGGGGTTCCTCCACATGGATGGGTACAGTTTCATGTAATAGATATGGAACAGAGCTGCAGAATCAGAAACTCACAGAGAGCAGGGAGCCTTCTTTCTATGAACAAGTGTTGATCTGCTGAGTTCTGTGCGGATAAATGGGCAAAAAGCACACTTGGGTTTCTTGCCCAACTGTTTTCATCTGTTTTACATTTTTACATTAAATGCACAATTTTACCTTAAAATAAACAACTGATGTGCAGATCAAACACATTGTTTTCTTATTTTAGCATGACTGTGAGGACACTTGGCTTATCAGGGGAAGATGCGGGTGTGCTCAGCAAGCAGCTGAGGCTCCAACATTGCCTGGATGGGTGGGAACCAAACCCTCAGCAGAGGCTGT